CAATGTGCTTCTGGGTCAGGTCCCCCTGGCACCTCCAGGCAGGTCTTCCTAATTTGGTTCCTGAGCACGCTCCAGCTCCCACCTCTGAAGCCTGCCTCTGCCCTTCCCTCTCACCTACTGGGTTTCCTTTCCTTTTCTGCCCCCACCATTGCTCTTCCTGCCCTCCTCCCTTGCCCTTCCCTCCCCATCATTGCTCTTCCTGCCCTCCTCCCTTGCCCTTCCCTCCCCCATTGCTCTTCCTGCCCTCCTCCCTTACCCTTCCCTCCCCCGTTGCTCTTCCCGCCCTCCTCTGTCCATTCCCTCTCAAGGCCCTGCCCTCTCTGGTTCACCATCCTCCTCTTGTCCTCTCCTGGCTTCTCCCCAGAGCTTGGTGTTCACTCAGATGCCTTCTCCTTGCAGCCTCTGCCACGGCCCCGGCCGCCTTCAGCCTCCAGCAAGTCATGACATTTGACTTTCTTCATGGAGTTTTTTACTTGTGAGATTTATCAGCTGTACGTGCGTGTTTGCCACATCCTCCCTCACTAGATTTCATCTACCTGGGGACAGAGACCCCTCTGCTTTGCTCCCTGCTGTGACTGCAGAGCCTGAACGGCCCAGCTCGGGGAAGGCTCTATCTACAGACACCACTGGGTGCTGAATTTCCAGAGCGGTCGATGGTACGTGGGACTCCGTGGTGAGAACTGAAGATGTGTGAGGATGAGGGGCGCCCGATCCCTGTCCTCTGTGATCTGCTGCAACAGAATCAACCTCTGCACGGTGGCCCCAGTGAGCAGCCTGGGGGATGCACAGAGCCACACAGAAACACGTGAACTAGGCGGCGGCAGCAGAGACAGAAACATCTTACAGTACACCAGGAGTGAAAGTTGAAAATACTTAGCATTTGACAAGGTTTCCAGTAATATATTCTTCTTTGAGCATCAAATGAGGGTCAAATACCTATTTCTGTGCTCATGTTAAACAGACAGAATGGAAACACAGAGAGTTACAGAGATGTGATCCGGGTGGGGGCTGAGAAGGGGCTTCCTGCAGAGGTTTATACCCAGGCTCATGGAGAAAACGCCCCTACAAGGGACCAAGCCAAGGACTCAAGCTAACGCAGGGAACAAGACCGCGTTTCCAGGCCAGCATGCGGGAGCCCTTCAGCAGAATCGGGGGTTAGGAAGTTCGGTGACTTCAGACAGGAAGGTGATGGAATGGGAACAGGGTCTTTCTGTTTCGAGCAGGCGATGGAACTGGAACGGGGTCTTTCCATGTGGGAAATGCTGAGCCTGTGCTGCCAACAGCCTCCAGGCTGAGATGTCTTGTGGGCAGCTGGGACAGGCAGCAGAGTAAGAGGCAGTGGTTTAGGAGTTAACTGCCCTTGGACAATTGTGGAAGCTTTTGATTTTATTATTTTATTATTAATTGAAAAAAATAGAAAATATAGAAAAAAATAGAATTGGAGAGGAGGAATAAGTAGATATTTAACAACAGAGCATGCGGTGCAGCAGCACACTGAGAAAAGTAGACCAGAAAGGATGGGGAGCTTCAGGAGGTGACAACTTAGAAACGTGGTGGCCACTCCCAGGCCCGTCCTGCAAACGACAGATGACTCGAGGAGAGGCCGGGCACGGTGGCTCACGCCTGCAATCCCAGCACTTTGGGAGGCAGAGGCGGATGAATCACTTGAGGTCAGGAGTTCGAGACCAGCCTGGCCAAAATGGTGAAACCCCATCTCTACTAAAAATACAAAAATTAGCCAGGCGTGGTGGCGGGCACCTGTAATCTCAGCTACTGGGGAGGCTTAGGCAGGAGAATCTCTTAAACCTGGGAGACAGAGGTTGCAGTGAGTCGAGATCATGCCACTGCACTCCAGCCTGGGCAACAGAGCGAGACTCCATCTCAAACACAAAACAAAACAAAAAATGACGAGGAGACGGCTTCAGAAAACACTGCTGTGTTTGGTGACTGAGAGGTTACTCATGTTCTTGGATGATACTTTCCAAATGTTAGTTTGCCTACAGGTCACGCAAACCGCCTGCAGGTGGAGTCAGACTCCGAAGGTCTGGGAGGCGCCGGGTTTGGGGGTTTTTCTGGGAGGTACTGGGTTTGGGGTTTTTGAAAAAAGCTTCTGGGAAGCAAAGAGTTTTGGGGTTTGTGAGGCACTGGGATTTGGGTTTTTTTTGTATAAAAGCTTCCAGATGGCACTGATGCTGCCCGTCAGTGGGCTACACCTTGACAAGGCTGTAGAGACTATGTTAGAAGGGCAGGGTGAACACCAGGTCCCGTAGCGAGGTAAGGGGTAGGCAGGTGTGAGGAGGCCGGGCAGACACATGGCCACCTTCTAGGAGTCTGAGAGTGGAGATTAAGACAATAGAAGCTTAAGGGCATTCACTGTGGTACCATCCTCAGCAATTTGCTTAATTCCTCCGAGACACAGTTTCTTCATCTGCCATGTGGGGCTAGAGTCCTCCCCCACAAATGAAGCAATGCACGCAGAAGTCTCCGCTGGCTTCAAGAGCCAAGCAACTCTTAAATCCTCTCAGGAGTAAAATTTGATAAACAAGATATTTAAAAATAATTCAGTAGTTGGTCTTCACTGAATCCTCTTTATATCCTCATTTATCCAAGGGGAGAACACGTTTTTGAAAGATTATAAAAGGTCACAGCGCAGCATTGAAAGCAAATGCTAAGATGATGTATTTTCAGGAGATTATAAAATAATTTGAGCTTTTAAAATATAAAGTATAGGCCTGAACCTAAAAGTATAATTTGACCAGACGGGGGGTTTGCCTACTCATCCCGCATTTTGTAACATGAAACCAACCTCCATCTCCACGTTTCCCTGCCCTCGTGGTGCAGGCTGCCACGCCTGCCTTGCCTGGGCTGACTTCACAGCAGGAGAATGTGCCTCGTGGCCTCTGCAACAGGCCTCCAGGGCACAGCCTCCGGGAACACCAGGAGCTTGAGGCACAATGCTGACGGGCAACTCGAAATGCTCACCAGTCTGACATTGGGTGACCCCGCCGACATCACGGCACCCACTCTCTTCCAAGTGACCCTTGGCAATTAATTTTTCCAGGACTCTTCCGTCCAAAATCAATACAAAGCAAAACCTTAAGTTAAAAAATAAGACCTTTAACCTTAAAATGCCCTTAAGCTTCTATTATCCAAGTATCCACTCCTACAAGGCGACAGCCAGCATCCGGCCTCCAGAGTTCCACTGCGCTTCCCCAAAGACAGGTGGGCTCTCCTCAAGCACATTTTTACTTCAGGAGTCGCTGAAACTGGGGTGTAGACAACAGGATCCTCCGTGACCAGACCGAAGCCCAACCCTGTGATTCTCTCATCTGCACTCACCTGCTGAGGTGAAGCGTGGGCCTCCATTTTGGTTGAATCACATTATGTCTCATAGAACCATCTGGAACCCCCATCACCTTAATAATTCAGTGTTGTCTGATGCTGTGAAAGTGAAAAAGACGTCAATTATCACTTCCAAATTGTGCTGGGGAATGACACAGATGTTCTCTCAGCAGCACGCACACCCTGTTAGAAGGGGGTATGGTTTTTACTTCCTGCTTATTCCCGGCAAATTCTGTGGCTTCCACTAAGCAGGGATGTCCTCTGAGCACCCTGCCCCTCCCGATTCCTGCCCACCGCAGGCCTCGGTTTTCTCCACATCTTCTCCCTGGACAGTGGCAACACTTGCAGAACCCCAGCTGCTCTAACACCAGGCCCAGCTCCTCCTCCATCCCAAGTGTCTCTACCCAACCGTGGGATCTGTCCACATCTCCAGATGGGGAGACCCACGTCTCCATGTCACCTGAGGGTGGGTGTGTTTAGAAGCTTCCGAATCTCCACCGCTGGAGACAGCGGGACATGGACGTGTACATTTTGTGACTAACTCAAACACGGGCCTCCCCTTTTGGTTTTATGGATATAAAACAGGTCCCTGCAGTCATCGGAGTGGAGCGCTGGTAGCAGCCGGCCCTAGGTTGAGTGTTTGACCAGGAATACCCACACACTTCTCTCAATTAACCCGTGAGGTTGGCATATTTCGTAACTGGGGAGAAAGTGGGGTAACAATGGTATGACTAAAGTCCACAGCCTGGGGCCTGGCACCTGGCAAGTACCCTCTGGGTGTTAGTGGAGTTATTACTTGCATGACTTTAATCATTACAGAGGTTCCCTAAGGTCACGCAGCTGGTAGGGGCTCTGGTCCTGTCTCATCTCACTCCACAGCCCCAGGTGAGTACAGGGCAGAACCTCTATGTTTCTGTCTCAGATTCTTCTCGTTGCTTTGTTTTTCTCAAAACCTTTCATTTGATCAATGATGAATAATATAAATAGATTGTTTATTTTCTTTTTGTTGAAACTATCTGTGTTGATTTTTTGTCTTTGGAGTTGTCATAAAACACCTGTGGTCAAATCCAGGCCCTTCCAGTTACCAGCAATGTGACCTTCTGCGTGCTAATCACCTCCTTGGTGACTCAGTTTCCCCATCTGTAAAGGAAAAGCAATGGAAGTACTGGGGAGTTTAAATAACGTACATGTTGCAGAGCACTTGGTACATGGTCAGACATCCAGTAGGTATGCTGCAAGGAAGCTACTTGTACTTTTTTGTTTCAAATTCTATTCCATGGTGAACATTCACTGTCTCAGATGTGATATGAGATTCCATTTTGAATAGCCTTCAGGGATGTGACACTGGGAATTCTCTTCCTTTCTCCATCAGCTATAAACTTATGTATAAATGTTTCAAGCTCTGCTCTGCTATTCTCCACTACTCTTATCAATGATAAACATGCCCTTAGGTTTCCCCTGTGTTTCCTTACTGCCGCTCCAGCCCCTCGCTCCACATCCCCCCCTTCCCGCCACCACCACCTTCCATCCCTGCTCTGCTGCTCTGGGCTTTCCTGGCAGCTTTGCTGCCCACACTCTCCCTGCTCATCAGACCTACCAAGGTTGCAGAGAAAGAAAGACAGCAACAGATGGCTAGGAAACGAATATTCAACAATAGGGTGATTTCAGAACTAAATTCTAAAGAATTGAGCCTGCAGAGCAAAAACTCACTCAACCAACCAAAAAAATGGAGATCTGTCTATATCAAGGCCTGTTCTGATGAAGTTATTGAATTTTTTTTTTTAATGGAACATTTTAGGTACCTAGCCAGGTGCTTTAAAGGAAGACAGTCACCAGGCTGGCCCTGGATTCGTGAACAGTAACTCGCGTGTGATCAAAGTCTTAGTCTAAAATTTTGTGCCCACCGTGATTTTCTGAAAGCACAGAGACAACAGCACTCAGGCAGTTTCAGTGTAGGACGGCCCCGAGGAGTAGTCCTTTAAAATCCTTCTTGCTGGTGTGATCCCGCCACGAATGAAAACAACCTGAATGAAGAGGTCAGAAACAGGAAGTGCGCCAAAATAGACTGAACTACAGAAAAACAACTGAATCCATTTAAATATGGAACGAAGATAAAAAATGTTGATCATGGGAAATGCGCTGGAGACGTGTACACAACCGGAGCTCAGGGAAGAGAGGGGATAAAAGAACGTTCACAGATGCTGATTTGCTCATTCAGAACCAGGGGCCCTTAGTGTGACCCAAACCTGAACCGCTGGCTTTAAAAAGTTCCATCTTCTTCACAGTTTTGTTAACATTTTGACGAACTTCAGAGCTGTATTTTAGGAGCTGTTATTTCTTTTGTAACTGAAAATGTGTCTGACCGTTCTCCTTCACTTATCGTCCAGTTCTCTGTTTTGTTGGTCAAATTCATTTAAAATTAAATTCTGTACTTCGTTATACTTTAGCATTTATGGTATAATCACATTTTTAAATGTGCTTTTCCTTCTTTTATTCTTTCCCATTCATGGAGAGGTTTGTGATAACACTCATTGAACACTAGCATCCGTGATTTCTGGGTGGTAAAATTGGGATGATTTAATTTTTCTTTCTTTATGGTTTTGAATTTTATCCCTAATTACAAAGTTATTAATTTAATATTTAAATATGAAAACTTTAAAAATAAGTTTTCAAAATGAAGTCATCAGGATGTGGGGCCTGGTGGAGGCTGGGGTGACTGACACCTCTGGTTGACGGTGGTGGGTGGGAATAAGGTGTGGGAAGATGGGCTTATTCCCAGGGGAGAGGGTGGTTTGCCACTGGCTTGAGATGGATCTGCCTGTGGGCATCCTGTTCCCACAGCCACTCACCGTGCACAGCGGAGGCTGAAGAGAGGAGCTCGCTGCAAAGAGGCCAGCAGGGTACAAAGAAGAACCAACTGCAGGGCACCAAGCCCGCACAGGGAAGAGCGAGTTGTCTGGGAGGCAGGAGGAGCTCTGTCCCTGGAGTCACGGGAGGTGCCCAGGCCTGAGAGGGAGCAGCAGGAATCTCTGCAGGGCATCCCCGAGCTCCAGTGAAGCCTCAGCCCCGTGTGGGCAGAAGTCAGGGGAACATCTGGGAAGCGTGACCAAGGGGACGCCTGCAGGAGCTGCCAGAAGCAGCATGGCAGGGACGGGGTCAGAGGGAGGAGGCTGCAGGGTCCAGGAGAAGCTTCAGAAGCAGGAGAGGCTGGAGCTTGCTTATGCTGTGGGAGAGGGCAAACTTCAGGAGAGAGGAACACACAGGACAAGGGGGTAATTGGAGGTGTCATGTTGGAGGAAAGAGGCTTTGGGGTCACTGCGCTGGAGCAGGCCAGGCCAGGCCTCTGAGGGCCAAGAGGAGGGAGCTGGCAGGTGGGGGTCTGCAGAGGGGTGCAGTGGGCTCTGAGAACCCACTTTGGCTGCTCCACCATTCAACACAGGGACTGCCAAGATTGGCCGGCAGTGTTTCAACAAGTACTGAGTCCGGTGCCGAAGGCTCGGAAGAGCCCCTCAATCAAATCGGAGAGGAAGGGAGTGGAGATGAAACAGCTTTGAAGGCGCACAGGAAACGTGCGGTACCTGTCAGGCAAATGAGTTCATAAATACACAAATGGGTCAATGCAAAAGGGAGATAGATGTCGGACTTCTTATTAGTGGCTACTACAACAAGGATTTTTGATTTCACCTTTCTGGGTCTTGTTATTCTTGCGTATTTTAGTCACTGTGGCATTCTATTACATACAACAGACGGTTACAAGCATTGTCTTCATAGAAAGCAAAATAAAACTCGAAGACATCAATACATGTTAAACATCAATACGTGTTTAACAAAGATGAAAGAGCCTAAAGTCTAAATGCGAGACTTTGGGGCCCCTGTGGACCAGTGGGAAAGAACAGACCTCTTATTTGTAGGTGTCCGTGTGCTTCAGACGCCATGGCTTGTTTCTTGGTCAGCCCATTTTCTACCAAGCTTGAGACCTCCGTTCTGGGCCTGAAGCTGAAGGACTTTTCGTTTATTTCATTTATTTATTGGCTCTTTCTCTTCCTTGCCACGCAGGAGGATGAGTATAAACAGAATGAGATACTTCAGAGCAACCTCATGAGTTAAGAGCATGTGAGCTTTCTCTGAGACGCTGGCTCCATCTTAATTTAATTAATGCAGAAATGAAGACTCAAACATTTGAGAATCTTTAAAAATCATATTTTAGCCAAAAGATTTATCTCACAGAAGATAATTTCCAACCCAGCCAAAAGCAGCAAATATTTGCTAGTTCTATAATGTTTTGTGTGACTATGATACTCGGCATATTTTCTGGTGTGTATTCGTCTCCAGGACATCTGTGCATGGCAGTTAGTCACGGAATTTAAGTTCAGTGTGGCATGCGTCCTAGCGGGTGGGAAGCCAGAAAGTAACATGTACAACCACCCCAAGAGAAATGCTTATAGCCAGCAAGCAAAGCATGAGTTTTCATCACGCTCTAGGCAATTTCTAGGTGACTTTATCTTTAGATGGAGATTTCCTTTTTCTGATGTCTGCTGTTTCTTCAAAATTCACAGATTGCTCTTGATAAAGAGCATTGAGTTACCCTACACAGAGATGGAAAGGGGCTTTATAAATATGATGGTAACATACAATAAATTAAATGCATCTCTAAAGGCGGAAGTAAAATGCCTTGTCTTGTATCATAAATATCACTGATACTGACACAACACAATATCTCTAACAGTATATGTCACAGTCTCATTCATTCACTTATTCAACAAACATTTATTAATCACCTACTGTATATCAGACTTCTTGATAGATACGGAGAAATTACCCTCTTAAAGCAAACCAAGACAAAACTACCAGACCCATGTAATTTGGAAATCAGTTATTTGGGTAGATTTTTGGTTTCTAAACAAGAATAAGTCCAAATGACCCTTCTTTACATTGTTGGTAAAGATTTAGCCAGAATCTAAAAATAGTAATTTTTCTGTAACTGATAGAAAATATAGATATTGGATTTCCACCTCACACATAGGAAGAAATTAGAGGAAGTCTTTGTTTTTGGAGGAAACGATCACTGCTTCCTAACACCCAGCAGTAATAAGACCTGGGTCACACCCTCAAGCTGTCACGTCCACAGAGCCGAGTGCTCCCAAGCATGAGACACAGGTCAGCAAAAGCCGTGTGGTCAACTCTAAATACCCAATAACACTGGTTCCTTTTGTTTTGGTTTTGGTTTTTCATTCTCTTTTGGGGTCTCTTGTCCCAGGTAGATATTCTATGTCCTTCTGGTATACATTTTAATCTGACTTCCACTGAAGCAGGGACGGGACACGTCACCCCTTCAACTTGAAGGGCCTCCTGCCGAGAGTCCCTGGAGCCTGGTGGGTGCCGATGGCTGGTTCCCTGGGCAGAGAGGTTGGGGCTTAGCTATGTCCGTTGCTGGCACTCGGTGGGGGAGCCCTGGGAAGGTTGTGGGTGAAAGTGAATTATCCTCTCCCCTGTGCCGGTGCCAGGCCCAAATGTGGGCAACAACAAAGAAACACACACTGCACAGGTCCTGATGCTTCGGTCCTGTGAAACGCCCAGGGTGTGCCTTTGTCAACTGGATAAAAACAGCACATGCTTTCTGTTAGGACCTGTGTTCGTCTGTTTTCATGCTGCTGATGAAGACATACCTGGAACCACGAAGAAAAAGAGGTTTAACTGCACTTAACAGTTCCACACAGCTGGGGAGATCTCATAATCATGGCAGGAGGTGAAAGACACTTCTTACATGGCAGCGGCAAAAGAAAAACTAGGAAGAAGCAAAAGCGGAAACCCCTGATAGAACTATCAGATCTCATGAGACTCATTCACTATAATGAGAACAGTATAGGGGAAACCGCCCCCATGATTCAAATTATCTCCCACCAGATCCCTCCCACAACATGTGGAAATTATAGGAGTTCAATTCAAGATGAGATTTGGGTGGGGACACAGAGCCAAACCATATCATTCTGCACCTGGCCCCTCCAAATCTCATGTCCTCACATTTCAAAACCAGTCATGCCTTCCCAACAGTCAGTCCCCCAAAGTCTTAACTCATTTTAGCATTAATCCAAAATCCACCATCCAAAGTCTCACATGAGACATGGCAAGTCCCTTCCACCTATGAGCCTGTAAAATCCAAAGCAAGCTAGTTCCTTCCTAGATACAGTTGGTGTAAATACAGCAGTTTCAAAGGGGAGAAATTGGCCAAAACAAAGGGGTTCAGGGCCCATGCAAATCTGAAATCCAGTGGGACAGTCAAATTTTAAAGTTCCAGAATGATCTCCTTTGACTCCGGGTCTCACATCCAGGTCATGCTGATGCAAGAGGTGGGTTCCCATGGTCTTGGGCAGCTCTGCCCCTGTGGCTCTGCAGGGTACAGCCTCCCTCTGGGCTGCTTTCACGGGCTGGCATTGAGTGACTGTGGCTTTTCCAGGCTCACGGTGCAACTGTCAGTGGATCTACACTTCTGGGATCTGGAGGACTTTGGCCCTCTTCTCACAGCTCCACTCGGCAGTGCCCCAGTAAGGACTCTGGGTGGGGGCTCTGACTCCACATTTCCCTTCTGCACTGCCCTGGCAGAGGTTCTCCATGAGGGTCCCGCCCCTACAGCAAACTTTGGCCTGGGCATCCAGGCATATCCATACATCTTCTGAAATCTAGGCAGAGGTTCCCAAACCTCAATTCTTGACTTCTGTGCACCTGCAGGCTCAACACCACACGGAAGCTGCCAAGGCTTGGGGCTTCCACTCTCTGAAGCCACAGCCCAAGCTATACATTGGCCCCTTTCAGCCACAGCTGGAGCGGCTGGGACACAGGGCACCAAGTGCCTAGGCTGCACACAGCTCAGGGCACACAAAACTATTCTTTTCTCTTAGACCTCTGGGTCTCTGATGGAACAGGCTGCCTCAAACGTCTCTGATATGCCCTGGAGACATTTTTCCCATTGTCTTGGAGATTAACATTCAGCACCTGGTTATTTATGCAAATATCACAGCTGGCTTTAATTTCTCCTCAGAAAATGGGTTTTTCTTTTCTATCACATTGTCAGGCTGCACATTTTCTGGACTTTTATGCTTTGTTTCCCTTTTAAAACTGAATGCCTTTAAAAGCACCCAAGTCACCTCTTGAATACTTTGCTGCTTAGAAATTTCTTCTCCCAGACACCCTACATCAGCTCTCTCAAGTTCAAAGTTCCAGAAATCTCTCAGGCAGGGGCAAAATGCCACCAGTCTCTTTGCTAAAACATAACAGAAGTCACCTTTGTTCTAGTTCTCAACAAGTTCCTCATCTCCATCTGAGACCTCCTCAACCTGGATTTCACTGTCCATATCATTATCAATATTTTCGTCAAAGCCATTCAGCAAGTCTCCAGGAAATTCCAAACTGTTCCACATTTTTCTGTTTTCTTCTGAGCCCTCCAAACTGTTCCAACTTCTGCCTGTTACCCAGTTCCAAAGTCACTTCCACATTTTTGAGTGTCTTTTCAGTAATGCCCCACTCTACTGGTACCAATTTACTGTATTAGTCTGTTTTCATGCTGCTGATAAAAACATACCCAAGACTGCAAAGAAAAAGAGGTTTAATTGGATTTACAGTTCCACATGGCTGAGGAGGCCTCAGAATCATGGTGGGAGGTGAAAGGCACTTCTTACGTGGCAGTGGCAAGAGAAAATGAAGAAGATGCAAAGGTGGGAACCCTTGATAAATCCATCAGATCTTGTGAGCCTTATTCACTACCAGAAGAACGGTACAGGGGGAACCACTCCCACGATGCAGTTACCTCCCACTTCATCCCTCCCGCAACACATAGGAATTATGGGAATACAATTTAAGATGAGATTTGGGTGGGGACACAAAGCCAAACCACATCAGAGCCAAAACTATTTTAAAAGCTATTACTTGTTGTCAGTCTCACAAAGTGGCTTGGTAAAGTCTATGGAAACAGTGAAAAAGAATTTTGAATTTTATTGAAAAAAGGTTGGTAGTGATTTTTAACTTGTGCCTGCAAAATAGAAAGCCCTTTCCTAATAGCAGCAAATCAGGAGAGAGAAAAGCAGCATCGCTGCTGTCCCGAGTTCCCTCTGCCTCTGCTGAGGTTTAGGTCCCTCTCCCAGATCTAAGTGCCTTGAAGCTGACGGACCTGTCATGTCAAACAGGAATGGGCTCTGCAGCGCTTAGACAAATTCCAAAGAGCAATCCCTTGCAGAGGATCTTTGAATTCTGCTCTAGTCAGTGGCCACAGATGGTGTTTCTCACTAGAGTAACCTCCAGCTGATGAGTCCGTAGCCTCGTGTCTTGTGTTCCGTGGCTTCAGTGAGATGTGGGGTGGATCAGGCTGAGGAAGAGCCCAGATGTGAAGGCAGCCAGCCTGACATCCCGCACCGCCTCACAGATCCTGTGGGTCTGGGTGAATGCTGGGCCTCCACCGGGCATCCCAGGTAGAAGGGTGCACCTTATTTAATCACCTACTATATTTGATGATAAAATGGACTTCGCTACCTGATAAAATTAACAGAAAGTACTGATGTCATAAAATAATATATGTGAAGGTGATGAAAATTATTTCTATGTGGCTAAAAGATATTCCTGATATTGACATTCCTGTCCGTGACACTCACCTATAAGAACTACCTCCTCCCAGCAACCCCGATCCAAACCACAGAGGGTAAAAACATGCCATTTGGGAAATGAGTGTTTTAAGGTGAGCTCATCCTTTCTATCTTTCCAGAGGAAATGTGCTAAGATGATTACAGCTATTACAATGGTGTGTGATGAGAAACAAGAGTGAGGACATCTGAAAAGCACTATTTATCTTATCTGTTATCCCATAAAAATAAAATTAATAAAGAATGCATAAAATATGGATGAATAAACATTAACTTTCTACAAGACAATTACATAATTGGCTTGAAAGGCTTTATTTTGGGGCATGCGATTGATGACATTTTCTTTCATCTAAACCCAGCTCTGAATTTCTTATGATGCTACACCTTTTATTTACTGCTACAATAAGCAAAACATTTTATCGTGCTCCAATGAGCAAAATTTGGCTTTATGATCTCCTATATTGTCTTATTAACTCTTCCTATTAATTAATACCAGGCAAATTTAGATTCTGGAAGGTCTTCCATCGTCAAAGGCCAGGTGTTAAACGTGGAGGCAGCCTTTCAGACGGCATTCTGTCGTTCTGTTTATTCCACACCACATTTCTGGAGCACGTGCCTCAGGCAATAAAGTTTTCTCTAAGCTTCATAAATATCTCCATATGTGTTAATTTATGTGTTAATTTTATGTGTCTATCTTGTGAATTCATTTTATTTTCTCAGGAAAGTTTCCCGGGATTCACGGGGAACTGACGAGGAAAAGTTTCAGAGAATCACGGAAAAGCTGAAACATCCCATTGGTCTCACTCGCCATCCTTATTTTTTTTTCAAGCTATAAACTGTTATTTCTTCTCAGCAAATACTAAGAGGCAAATGCTCCTTGGAAACAGGGTGGGATCCTGTGTAACTGTGGCCCAGATTTCTCCTGTGGAGACCAACCCTTAATATTATTCTGAAGACATTACATAAGTGGTTTTCAAGCTCCCAGAATTAATAGTTCTGGGATATCATTCAACAGAAACAGCTTCTAACGAGGGATCAGGATACCCAGCTCATGCTAGCAGCTGGGGCCCTAACAACACCATCCCCCCAACTCCTTCAGGGACGTTTGAGATCGAAAAACCAACCCTAGCAGGCTATCCACGCAGTCGCCTGAGCAGTTAGGAGATTTTATCTTTCCTTGCTCCCTCTCTCAAATATAAGGATTAAAATTCTACCAGGAACAGTCGACAATTCCTTTGTGAGGACCAAGCCCAGTCTACTTTTCTTCTACGGCACCCCATTTCCACAAATTCTCCTCTCCATTGCCAAAACTAGCAACATTGTGATGCCTTAGGGGGTCCCACAGCCAGCGGGCCCAGCTGGACGTGACAATCACTGTGACATCCACTGTGTCCCCACAGAGGTCAGAGACCCTCAGCCCCCCACCCCCTGGTACCACCCTTTATTCCCAAGCCTCTTACTAATGGGGCTGTACCGGACTGGCTGTCCATGCTTGATGGTGAGGAGGGGCTCCTGTACTCGCAGGGACCCTCCCCACTTGTGGGGTCAGTGCTATTCATAGTGCCAGAGAGAGGCCATGGGGAGCACGTGGAGTGAAGGGGAGGTGTCCACCTGAGGCTGCCACAGCCACTGCTATGTCCACCCCTGTGGTCCGAGAGGGCCGGTCACTCCAGTGTGGCTTCTGCTCTCTCCAAGGGGGTGTCAGAGACTGTTTCAATGCGCTGGAAACCTGAGATGAAACAGGTGCCCAGGGCTGGCCACAGGGGCAGGCTGGAGACAAGGCCCTTGCCACCAGGATCAGAAGGTCCCTCACTGTGTGCCATGGTGATGCCAGGCCAAGCAAGGTGGCAGGGAGGTGGCCCCAGCATGCTGACTCAGTTCCAAGGAGGCTGCTTCTGACCTGTGTCACCTGCTGTGACATCAGAGCTGGGCCCCTACAGACCACAGCCTCCTTTGCCAGAAAAAATCACTCAAAAGTAGGCTTTTTGGACTAAAACTTGTTTTGTTTCTTACTACAATTACTAAGAAAGTCCAGGATATGAAGGCAGAGCTTGCAGTGAGCCTAGATTGTGCCACTGCACTCCAGCCTGGGCGACAGAGCGAGACTCCGTCTCAAAAAAAGAAAGTCCAGGATACTCACACAGAACTGAAGTTCAGCAATTTCTCCTCTGAGTACACGTTGACATCTCTGAAGCCTGGCACTGACCAAGCCTGGCTTCGTGCAACGCGGTCAGCACACAGCCTGGTCTCGGCCTCCTCGCGAGTTCTTTGCAAGACCGCACATCCAGGTACCTGCGTTCCTGCATGAAGGCATCTAGGTTCGCAGAAGACCCAAAGCAGCAGGCCTTAGGCTCACTCAGGAGCAGCTCCTAGCTCCCAACTCAGCCACAGCCCTGCGGAAAACAGCGGAGATAGAGATGTGGTGGTAAGCAGAAGTGTGAGAAGCTACAGTAGTTTCCTTAGGGTTGGTAAATTTCGTGCCAGCCACCATGATCATGGGCTTAGCCCACAGTAATAAAGCCCAGTGTAAATCGTGTTTAAGATTATACACAAAAGTTAAAACCCAACTAAGCCATGAAAAACTACAGCTAAAACAAAAACAAACTGTGAAAGTGACTTTAGTGTGTTCTGAGCATGATAGCTAAGACCCAAGCTGGGGTCAGCTACCCCACTACGCCTCGCCATGAACTCAAAATGAGCAGAGCCACAGGCCCGAGTGCCGCCAGCAGCAGCTGGGACTGAGGGCAGCACTTCCCTTCCTCGGAGGAGACCACTCCACAACCAACAAACCCCGAAGCCCCCACCGGCTGCTGCTGACCAGCCACACGCCACCATCTTCAGCAAACCCCACGATGGCCGCAGAGTGAGCACCAGCATTTACACAAAAACGTCAGGTCCAGAGGTAGCTCTGAGGTGGAAAGAAATGGGCCACAGAACATTCCCCCTCAACAACCCTCATGAAATGAAAAGCCAGGGGTAGCTCTGAGGTGGAAAGAAATGGGCCACAGAACATTCCCCCCTCAACAACCCTCATGAAATGAAAAGCCAGAGGTAGCTCTGAGGTGGAAAGAAATGGGCCACAGAACATTCCCCCCTCAACAACCCTCATGAAATGAAAAGCCAGGGGTAGCTCTGAGGTGGAAAGAAATGGGCCACAGAACATTCCCCCTCAACAACCCTCATGAAATGAAAAGCCGAAGGAGGATGTAGCAGAAGCTAAGAACAGACAGCGTGACTGAACAGGACCGTGACCACACACACGCCACCCGCCAGCCGTCTCAGCCACCGCCACAGACAGAAGCTCAGGTGCAGTGGGGGTGAGCCTGACGAGGTGGGCGTCCTGGAGAGCGGGTCCGGGGAAGTCCAGCGCAGCCTCTGCATGGCACCTGCTCACACCCGGGAGATTTCGCATCGACTGCACCACTCTGAACACAAACTAGTCCCAAATCAACAAAACTTAGCAATTATACATATTCAGACCAAAATATGTATTCACAACGAAAGGTATAGGAGATAGAAATGTATTTAGGCGCTACAGGAGAGGTACCGTAAGAGAAAGATGACAGAACAATTTAAAATACAAAAAAATGCAAAGCTAATCCCTTATGCCATTTGCATAATAAATTTGCTAGAATGATTTTACAAAGAGAAATTTAGCTAAAACCTCTGAAAGCAGACAAGTTACTCATGGACAGTTACAAGAACAAACTCTCCAATGTGGCAAAACGTGAGCAGAACCAAGAGCAGAGAAAAGCCATCCGAACCTGGTGATCGTGCTTATCCAGAAGAGAATCTCAGCTCAACTTTAAATTACCAGAAGAAGTATTCATCTTTCTGTAAGTTTAAATGTTGATCTAAAGAGGGACAGCTCCTTAGAACCAGGAAGCAACCTTTTATCCAGATCAATTTATTAAATTTCTAGGGTTATTTAAAAGCAGCCACCAAATAAGAGTGTATTCAAGTTCAACACTCAGCAGACCTTAGTTTCAGCGCTCTCTCTAAACGCTCTACATTTTACTGGATTAATCTATTTATAAATAGAAG